TAAGCAATTCAAAATGAGCTACAATTGCAAATTTGTTGCATTATAATATCTATGCCTGGAAAGCCAGCACAATAAGGAGTATAACAAATGGGCATGGGTACAGAATGTTTTGAAAGCAGAACAAATGAAAGGAATTATCTGCCAGCATTAGTATGAACTCAGTTACGACATTCAAAGTTGATAGTTTATGTAAAATAAGAGCCACCAATGAACCATATTTTGTGAGCAGAAACATGCAAAACAAAACAAAAATAAAAATACATGGCAAGAAAGAAAGGAATGGCTCAAAGGCAATACAAGCAGTGAAGCAAAAATTTCACATAGTATTAGAATTTCATTTAAGGAAACAGAAAAGCTAATCATTACTCCATTAGACAAAACTAAAAATGAATCTTGGTCCATATTCAAGAACTTTCAAGCAACATTCTAAATTATATTTGGTTCAGTCAAATTACTTGGATTTATTTCCAAATATATTTGCTTAGAATCCATGTACTAATTCTTCTGAACTAAAACTGTCCGTATGCAAGCAAAATAATAGTACTAAATGAATAATTTGAAATATAAGCCAGTTGTATTCCAGCTACTACGTCAACAGAGAAGCCCTTATATTATTCTAATCCTCAGGGCAGGAGGAGGCAAGATTAGTCTAATTAAGGATAATTACAAGGATTGTTAAGCAAAAGTCATTCTTACATATCATCAAGGGATAGGGTATAGGCTGGCATGACTTAGGTCTAAATTCCAGCAATAAATTGTTACAGTTCCAAGAGGCTCAGACCACTCAGCAGATTCAGTTGAAGGGAACTGTTTTCAAATAAATTAAGACAGAACAAGAAAGGAAACATTTACAGTAATTTGTTTTGATCACTTTTTATGTGGGACTTCATATAAGTAATCTCTTAAACTGCATAGGTATATGAAGCCAGTAACAGATTTGTTCATGCTGAGAATAATTATTACAGTAAAACAATATGATTGGATATTGTTGTGAATGATTAAACCTTTATAATGTCAGTTTTTGGGCTGGAATAGGTTGCTTTGTTCTGGTAGATCAGAGGATATTATAGTCAAGCCAGGACAGTAGGTACCTTGAACATGATAAGACTTCATTCAATACTTTTAAAATTCTATAATTCCCTTGATGTAAGTAATCATGATAAAATACATTTGTGAGAAATCAGAAAATACAATCAGTGATGTTATTAGGCGAAATAGAAATTAACAAAAACAAATGTAATAATTTTGAATTATGTTTATTGATTAGTCGTATTAATAGGAACTGTATTTTTTTAAAACCATTTTAGAAATCAGGCACTTGGGATGAAATATAGCAGGGCTTTTCAACCTTTTCACCCATTGTACCACTTTTAGGATATGGCAACATTCGAGTACCACCAATGCCTAGCAAGGTGTCAAAAACTTGATGACCAAAAAAAAAAAAAAAAAGGAAAAAAGTGATAAAGTACAGGTAGTCCTCGACTTACAACAGTTCACTTAGTGACTCTTAGAAGTTACAATGGCACTGAAAAAAATGCCCCCCGAGCCACAGCCGAGCAAGACACCTGCCTGCCCACCCAGCGGCGCTCTTCCTCCTGTCTGAGGTTTTCATTGTTTTGAGCATTTCTGTTGAGGATTGGCAGCGGGGGTGGGGTGGGGGTGTTTGGTTTTTATTCTCCCCATCTGATGGGTGGTTGCAGCAGGTTTTGGTCAATTCACATGACCCTGGGACACTGTGACCATCATAAATATGAACCAGTTGCCAAGCATCTGAATGTAAATCACAAGACCCTGGAGATGCTGCAACATTCCAGCTGATTGGCGCTTCTTCAGGGCTCAGCAGAAGCACCAGGATCAGCGCCAAGCTCCAACTGGAGCCTGGCGCTGATCCTGGCACTTCCACTGAGCCTTGACAGCCCCAAAGAAGCGCCAATCAGCTGGAAAGCGGCACTGATCCTGGCGCTTCCGCTGAGCCCTGACAGCCCTGCAGCTCCAGCCATCTGTCGCTCAGGCTTGTGCGGTGCTACCACCAGTTCAGCTCATTTCCCTCCCCCGCTACCACTTTTCTAGGATGGTCGCATACCACCTGCAAGGTGCCAATGTACCACAGATGGTACCTGTACCACTGGTTGAAAAGCCCTGAAATATAGGATACAGGATTTTCTTTGCTTGTTCAATCAAGTTAAGTCCAGTTGGTGGAAGATCTGACTCCTTCAGCAACCTGTAGAATTTCAGATCTAGATTTCTATTCACTAGATCTCGGAGGATAGCCATTAGTGTCAATTTCCCCCGAAGAACTTTCTTAGGTCATTATGGAGCTATCTGTAAAGAAAGAGCTAGTAACAGTGCACTCCACTCATATTGAACTCTCTCTGTTGACTTAGCTCTGAGAAATAAGAAGCAACCTGTTTTGAAAATAGTTTGATATATGAACTTTTAAATTCCAAATGTACACAATATTCAACTAACACTTGTTTTCAATTAAACCAAAGTGTCCATTATTATAACTCCTATGTTCTCCTAAACCCACTGAACACAATCCCATCTGCTAATATTCCCAACATGGGGAAGAATTGATATTCTGTTTGTGAAATTTGAAGCATAGCTAAGTAGGAATGTTTCTCCGCAGCTAAGAGGCCAATTCTGTAAGAGCATTTAGAAGATTTTGTTCAAGCTATTCCTCAGATGCCCTTTCGTTTAGTTAAACACAGTAGTGCAAGATCCATGATGATATTTTCATATTTATATCTTTTTTTAAAAAAAAAACTATAAGGTTGTCTTGCTATACTAGTTTACCTGGGGAAAAGTTTCAATAAACTGAATGGATGTTTAATCCCATATTCAAATATTGCAAACACACAGTACAGATGTATGTAATGTGCATATATTGTATGTAGTGTGCATATATTGTATGTATGCACTTGCATGAACTCTTTATCTCAGTTTGATGTCTCCTTTTTCAAAGATGGATTTAAAATGCTTCACAAAAGCTACAGTTTGCACATTTATTTTTTTCTTCATAGGGGAAGAGTAACAGGAGAAAAAAAATAGCTTCCAGTGAGAAAATACCATAGAGGAAAATGTTAAACTCCCCTCCCTTAACATTGCAACTATAAAACAGATTTAAAACTTGTGGTTCTGCTCTTTAAAAAAACAATTGAAGTTCTCATCATTCCTCTAGTTTGATTCTTAGTGACACAGCATGACTGAATTGGTCCTCTGAGCACTCAACTTTGCTGGAACAGCAAAAGTCAGTACAGTATTATAGCCTCCTACAGTGTCAGTCTGACATTTCAACAAGATATATGACAAACATTGAAAAAAGAAAATCAACCTAAAGAACTCTCCATATAGAGATTTATCAGTCATTTCATCATCCTGATTCCTCACATTTGCTATGTGATAGGTCTGTGCACTTCAACGTGGAATTTATGGTGTTGATGAAAACTGGACATGTTGAATCAGTATAGTGAAACTCAACAAATATCACATTTTGTTTACAGCCAAGCTCAGAAAAGCAGAAATAAAGAATAAGCAAGCATGCACATGCAATTCTGAATAAACATTTGATGCTATTATGCATTTACTGTTCAAATATATACATATGAGGAAAATGGCACTGTATACAAGTAGTCCTCAGTTTACAATTACAATTGGGACCAGAATTTCTGTCATAAGTTCTTACAATATTAAGTCACGTCATCATGTGACTGGACCCAATTTATGACTAGTTTTACAACATCTGTAATGTCATGCAGTCAGTGCAAATCCTGTTAACCAATGACGTTTTTGCCACAAATCACATTCATGTGACTGTGAGATGCTGCAACCAGTCATAAATGCAATCCGACTGTTCAATGCCCAAATTGTGACCATAGCAGCAGGACAAAGTCTTCAGTTCGAATTTAGGATCGCAACTGACTTTTTTTGGAGGTTTTTAATTCAAACTGTTATTAAGCAAGTAGTCGTAAGTTGAGGACAACCCATATTTTTTCTTCCTTTTCCCCAACAATATTTCCTCTCCAATTATAACCAAAGATCAACTATTCAGATTGAAATAACAATTCCCAATAATTCTTCTGATTCTGCATTCTTCTGAATTCTATGATGAAATTCTTAGTTTTAAAATACTGCAAAATTATTACATATTTTACAATGCATATAAAATCAATATTTTTCAATAATATATGTATACAAAAATGGGATGATCAGATTTGTCAAAGAAGATAAATAAAACTCATACAGACCAAATCTTTGATTTTGTCTATTTCATCTCATAAAAATATTTACTATATGTACATTCCAAATTATGGTCAATTAAAAAGAAAAGTATCTCCCAGATTGCCCAGAGGATGTCTGTCTTTCTGTATTCAATAAAAAGCAGAGAACTCTAGCCACCATTGATTTTAGCCTGTGAATAGGGCAGATTTTTTTTTAAAAAAACCTATCTTATATCATTTGTGCATAACTTATAGTAGAAAATTAAAAATGAAACAAATGATGTACCCTGGTTTATCATTTTAATCAGGAGAGTTTTCTCTATCTGAATGTATGTATGAGGGTGTATGTGAAAAAATGTATGCCAATAAAAGCACACAATATAAAATTGGCAATCTTTACTGAACAGTGGGTGAGAGAAGTACTGAGCTCAGTTCTGTTTGTCCTCATATTGCCAGATTCCTCCAGCGGTAGAAACCCTTTTGCCTCTCAGAGGCCAAAGCCATTACTAGCAAAAGATGGAGGGAGAGATGGTGGAAGTAGCTGATGTCTATCATGTTATTCTATCATGCCCAACAGTTTATGGTGGGTAATGGGTAGATATTTTTCCCTCTCATCTTCTATCTGCACAATAGCTTTATGAGGATCAGAGGCAATTAATTCTGATGACAATGTATTTGATTAATCTGAATGAAATGTTGCCAATAATATTACAGTAAAGTTGTTTAATCTAAGATACCCTAAATTATGATTTCACACACTTGCTTTGAACCAAAACTTACCTATGCACGTTTTCCCATCAGAGTGTAGCACAAATCTCATATGGCAACCACATTTTGGACCTTGATCTGTATCATCACAAGTGTGCTGACAACCTCCATTACCATAGTTGCAAGTCACTGAGAGGGGTAAGAGAAGAAGTAAGAAATAGTTCCAAACATTATTATCATACTTAGCACACCAAAAGACTACGTTTGCACCATATAGTAATACAGAGCTAACTAAATCACCTTTACTGAATGAATCCAACTGCTGGGGTTCATACATCACACTAGGCTAAAATGTTGCAGCCTGGTGTGCATTCAGTGTGTTATGCAAACAAACCCCAAACAGGTTCAAGTTGCCAGATTTCTTGAAATAATTAAGAATTATTGGATTGAGATAAAACTTTATGCACTTCAGAATCACTCATAAAATCATCCAGAAGTATAGCATGATCAAGACCAACAGGGGAAAAAATAATATGGGGTGAAATTGAAATGAGGGGATGCTGCGATTTTGAAAATCTGTATGGGAATGATAGTGATATGTCATAGATCCGAATATAAACAAAGGCTATAGATCAGGGATGTCAAGCTGCCAGCCCGTGGGCCGGATACATCTTAGCGAAACTATGCCCACCCCATTGCCGGCAATAGCAAAAAAGTTGCAATACAGCGCGACACGTCACTTGAAGTTGCGAGTTTGATACCCTTGCTATAGATCAGGGGTAGTCAACCTTGGCTCTTTTATGACTCATGGGCTTCAATTCCCAGTATTCCTGAGCTGGCTCAGGAATTCTGGGAGTTGAAGTCCACGAGTCATAAAAGAGCCAAGGTTGACTACCCCTGCTATAGATGTTAGTTTCAAAGAAAAAATGATGAAAAGCAATCCGTGCTTTCTATTAAAAATGCTTTCTATTAAAAAAAATGATCAGGCTATAATGCTTATGAATTATTTCTTCTATTTTTTATGAAAACGTGTTCTTTTTAAAGAAGTGCATAACATTTAACTTTTCTTGCTATAATCCTTGGAGTTTAGTGGAATTGAAAATAGCAAATGCATCTACATAGAAGTTCAAACATCATGTCAATTAAAATGCTAATTTATTTTAGCAGAAAATATGTACAATCTCATCACAAGATAAGTATTGCAAACTGGAGGTTTCTTTTATGAGAAAGCTGTCCCTCTTTCATCTGAACAGAGTATTACATATGATTAATATGATTGGATATACAGATCGATGCAACTGCACAAAGTAATGTTGGCAGTTATAACTCCATGATGTCCTCCTCTTGATAAAGCACACTTCTAGCAAAGATCCATTATTTCTATATTAGTGTTTCTAAAACAACTAACTGCTATGTTGACAAAGGTTCCCTAGGTAAACACTTACATTTGCAATCTCGTTGATTCTTAGTGAGCTCAAAGCCAGGTCGACATTCACAGGCAATGCCACCTTTGGGGGTCTCACGACAGATGTGTGCGCAACCATGATTCTTGTTCATGCAGTTCATTCCTTCTAAAAGAGAAAAGAAGCAACATAAAAGCTACCTAAACACAAGAAACAGCAATAGGAATATATAATTCTGTTTTAGAATGAGTTGTCCAGGCAGTTCATTTTTGCTTAGCTAACCTCTTTACCTATCAACTTAAAGCAAATTTTAAAAAATTCAATAGGATTTACTCGCAAGGAACTGCACACCACTGTAGCCATTTTACTAAATGGCTTCAAAATACAGTCACTTTTTAGAACTAGAACTCTTAAGATTCGGTGGTTTCAGAAACAACTAAGGCTTTAACTCATTGGAGTGATATGAATTAACATGTACTGAATACAACGCAATATCCCGATTTAAAGATAAAAATGACTTGTGGTCAATCCATATCCCCTGGAAATCTTATCTTAAAGGAAAATTTCTGGAAATAGGAAAGAAAAATGAAAATTACCTCCTAACAGTTCACTGGGAAATCATTTGGTGCCATAATTTCAAGATATTGTTTGACCTATTAAATTAAAATCTGTGAGACATCATGTGTTGTAGAGCTGATTAACCAGTACCAATATCTTACTGTGCCCAGCCCTTAGTACATCATCGTATCCACTCTCAGAACAATGAATTTTCTGTGACACTCTCCCTATTATGTCCCTTAGCTAATGCCTTCTCCTTATACCAGCAGTCCAGAAACTCCCAGTCAAAATCCTTCATTTGTTGATCAGTGATGCTACAGGCTCTAGTGTTGTTTCTTCAGCAGAGTCAAAAAGCCTCTCAGGCTTTCTCAATAATGGGAATCAGCCAAAGCAGCTTTAGCTACAACACTGCTATCTGACCTTTCTAAGCTGTGAACAAAACAGGGTCCTGCTGACTCACATTCCTGGATTGTTTATGCTTTATTTGGACTTGAAGGACACCAGGTTCTGGGCTTTAGCTTCCATTTCTTCATGTTGGCCACCCACTCTAAGAGGCAATCAGAGCCAATAGGGTCATGCCCTCTGCATCATGGCTTGGGTATGCTGAAGAATACTAGGATCCATAGGGACTAGGTCTGTCTACTTCATTGCACAAGGCAGATGTTAAGGTCTAAATGGGATAGAAAGTATTTGTGAGTCAGACCGACCACAGGAGGGAAACTAAAGTCAATCTGTGATATAGAAAGAAGGACCACTTATTTCAGAGAGAGTCCTATTTTTAAGAATAATTTTAGTGATATTTTATTATGTTTCATGTGGTTGTTTTCATTACATTCTCTTTACATATTTTTGCTGCCTGTTAGCTTGATCATCCCATTTGGACAGAAAGACAAGATATCAAACACTCACAGTTGCCTACTGAACATGCTATAGTCTAAACCAGGGGTGTCAAACTCAATTTCATTGAGGGCCGCATCAGCATTGCAGTTGCCCTTGGGGGGCCACGTGGGTGTGGCCTACTGGGTGGGCATGGATGGAGTGGGTGTGGCCTATTGGGTGGGCATGGCCAGCTTTACATTGTTCGCGTCAAGGGTGCCTGTAGGGGCCTGGGCAGGAGTGGGACAGATCTGAGGGTCTCTGGCAGAAGGGGGTGGGACAGGGGCAAGCATCAAGGCATGGTGCATTTCTTCATTCCTCACAAAGGGTGACACCTCCCCAGCATGCACCCAAGGGTGGGGCCGACACAGCAGGGGCTGGTTCCTCGCTGTTTCTAGACAGTCTTGTGGAGCTAAGACTGAATGCGTTTCAGCATAGATGGCCACCACAAAATTGTACATTGGCTCCCGGCTGGCTTGGGCCAGGGCCAAGGCAGCGGGGGCCGTTCCCTCACTGTTTCCAGGAGGGCTTCACGGGCCACATGAAACCACTTCGCGGGCCGCATCCGGCCCCCAGGCCTTGTATTTGACATGTCTGTTCTAAACCATCTGGAGTCACATTTGAGAAAATGATGTATTCTACTTAATAATGTAGAAGTATCTGTAAAGAATATTTCAGTAAAGTGGAAAACACTTGAAAGATTCCAGTAATTAATCAAATCCATTATCTCAAAACAAATGAGAGTTAAGAGAGAGAGAGAGAGAGAGAGAGAGAGGGAGAGGGAGAGAGGGAGAGAGAGAGGGAGAGAGAGAGGGAGAGAAGGAGAGGGAGAGGGAGAGACTATCTAAAAGGTGAACAGTAGAAACCCTTTTGCCTCTCAGAGGCCAAAGCCATTACTAACAAAAGATGGAGGGAGAGATGGTGGAAGTAGCTGATGTCTATCACGTTATTCTATCATGCCCAACAGTTTATGATGGATCAAAGAGTGTGAATTATCAATTTAAGCTGTCTGGCACAATGATGCTTTATTATCTGCATCACAGGTACTATTTTAATGGGTAGATATTTTTCCCTCTCAAGTGACAGTAAAATATATGATTAGAGCAGAACCAGTATGATAGCTTCCCTGAATACCAGCTTGGACAAGGAGGAAGAGCCAGCTTAGGGGATGTTGGAGGGGGATGTGGAGGAGTTGTAGAGAGGTTGTAGAGGGGTCTGAGCCAGGAGCGGAGACCAGGCACAATGGAGAGGTTGCAGGAGGAGTGGCTGGATGAACAGTCAGCTGAACAAGGAAAAGGAGAGGCGCAGCTCAGCTGGAGCACTCAGAGGTGGGTGTGTGTGTATATAGGAGAAGGTGTGCAGCTGCAGCTGGCCAGCAGAGGAGAAATTACCTGATCCGTGAAAGCACGGCACTGAGAGAAGGCAGGCACAATGGAAGTCAACAAGGCTACTCATAAGGCGGCAGCCTCACTTCTCCTAATGAGCTGTACCAACCAGAGGCTATTTAGCCCAGCACGTGGAATAAAGCGAAGCTGAGAACTCTCTGCTTCTTGCCGTGCATTTGTTCAGCTGCTGTGATTCTTTTTGTGGATTTAAACTTTGACTATGCTGCTGGATTTGGACTCTGCTTCTTGGACTTGGGACTTTGCTTCTGGAAACTTGGACTCGGATTTTGGCTTTGGTGAACTGTGTTCGACTATGGGCTTGTTTTGACTTTGAACTTGGGGGGGACTTTATGAGCTTGTTTTGTGTTCCCTCATTGTGCTGGTTCCTGTGTAGGATGAATCCTTGGAAAAACTATTTGGAGCTGACAAAGTCTCAATAAAGGCTTCGCCCCTTGAGGCGTGTGCGTGTGTGAGCAAGACAGGAAAAACAGACAATGTATTAATATGATAAAATATAGTGTTATCCTACTATGAAAATGGCTATAGCATTATATGCTGATAGACTAATCAATGTTTGTCTGTAAACAGTCTGTTAAGAGCCTGCAATGATTGAGAAGCACATAAATCAAGAACATGTAACAAATAGACTTAAGCTCAGTAACATGTAGAACATAATCTCTTGCTAATACAAAAGTAGAACTTTGGTTGCATCTAAAAAGCTGCAGTTGTTAAGTTGGTATCACGGTTGTAAAATGAATTTGACTTCTCCATTGACTTTGCTTGTCAGAAGGTTGCAGAATGTGATCACATGACCCTGGGACACTGCGACCGTCATAAATATGAGTCAGTTGCCAAGTGTCTAAATTTTGATCATGTGACCATGGGGATGCTGTAAAGATGAAAATGATCATGTCATTTTTTTCTGTGCTATTGTAACTTCAAACGGTCACTAAGCAAACGGTTGTAAGCTGAGGACTACCTGTTCACCAAACTGAATGCTCTTCATATTCCTATTTTCAGTCTTTATATATTATTTAGTACAGAACATAGTTTTTCTTTCACTCTCAAATGTTGGATGGTGTCAAGCTGAAAGAAGGAAGCATAAAAGAAAATAGAAAACAGCTGATCAAAGATATCACATATCACACCAAGGCAGCCCTTGGTATATTATCTTTCTTTCTATGTAGCTTTCTGTTTCTTAGATTATTTTGCACTGAAAGCTCCCTGTCCATTCCCACACTGAAGATATGGAATTGATTCAGGATGTCAGTTTAAATATCTGGACAGTCAAACCGTGAACCAGTCAGTGCAACAGCTGAACAAATTACATTTTCACTCTATCAACAACAGGACATGGGGATTTTATTATGAAGACTTAAAAGACACAACTGAATCAAAAAGATAGCTGCAGAACTAACCTAACTCGGATTTCACAGGATGTCGGCACCAATCTGGAGCCCTTTCATTCCTGATTATTACTGTTAGTCTTGGCAGATGACAACATCTCTTAGCAGGAGAGGGTGCAGCTTTGTGTTTTCAGTTCCTTAACTGCCAGAGAATTGCTGACAAAAGCGGTCCTTTTAACAGGATCCATGCATTCCCAGACCAGCACTTCAGTGAACATCATTTGCTCATTTTTAATGCCAAACCTGAAGATATTTAATGTTTATAATTTAAGCAAATTTTTAACAAGAATCTCATTTCTCTAAACCTAACCAAAATTGCCATTACCGTTGTCTGTATCTTGTTTTGCGACCTTCTAAACCAGTAAGGAAGCAAGGTGCGAAGGGAAGGAAGTAAAATAGAGCACTTGGTATAAAAGGGGTAAAACTGTATTTAAAGGAGTGAACCATGCAGTGGAATAAAAGTGGAGCATGGTATAGGTTCTAGAAAATGGCTTCATTTGTTTTTACATTTATTGTATTATTTCACTTTCTTAGAAGCAGAATCTTTTGAAGAACTGTACTTTTTTAGAAGCTTGCTTACTGATCAACTCTAAATCCCCATGACCATTAAAGCAGCCACTTCTGAATATTCTGTTGATTAGCCTCAACAGACATCTCATTTTAACACAGGCATCTAGTTAGCAACAATTGATTTTGTTTTTCCTTTCGTGATCAACTATGTTGGAAGTCCAAGGTTTCTCATGCTGTTCTACAGCAGAAAGAAGAGCAACTAGAGAAACTAAAAAAAGCCATCTGGCTAATTTGCAGACCACATAAGTTATCAATTCAAACCTGCTTGGGAAAATGTGTTAGCCCAGCACCAAAATCTTTGCTTTTTAAATCTCAGAGCAAACCATAGTGATGAATGGGCCAGTATGAAAAATTGGCACTAAAGGACAACCTG